ATTTTATTTGCCTCTCAAAGTTTAGAGTTACATACCGTTGAGGATTCATTTTCCTCAGTATCCTCTCCAGTTCTGCCTTCTAGCTCCTCTTAACCAGTTTGGTCTTCTTCAGCATCAAAAACTCGTTCTTCTTCACCTTTGGATCCTTCATCGTTTTCCTTTTCCTCCGAAACCCTTTCTTCATCGTTTCCCTCTTCTTCCGAAACCCTTTGTTCTTCATTTTCTTCTTCCTCCGATGAACTCGAGGGCAAACCGCATGCAGATCCGGAAGGAACCCGTAAAGGAATTCCATCGACTGACACAGATGGATTCTTTGTACGCGGCATAGTATCTACAGCAAAATCAAAATCAAATTGGAAAGATTGTACAGTACGAATTTGACGAAACTACTCCAAATTGAAAAGATTTGACGGATTCGAACAACTTACCTCCTACTTCGCAGATTTGGTTGTCCCTAGTTATCCTGATTTTTTAGGCAAATTGAGTCGAAATTTGCCATAGAAAATAGTAACTGAATCGAGAAGTTAGAGGGAGTTGGATATGAAGAGTCGTGGGCGGTTTTTTAAAGTTTCGGGTCGGATTGACCTGGTTGGGTCGTAAATAAGTTGAGTATCGTATGGTTATTTTGTCATTTCGCACAGTTTCGAATAAAAAAGAAAATCAAAAAGAAAAGCTTTTATCACAAGGGCGTTTGTAAATTGAAGTTATAACGAAGGGTTATATGAGGTTTTGATCCGAGGCGGCCACAGCTAGAAGAGCGATGAGAAGAAGAAAAAGGAGATCTCACCAGTTTCTCGACCGGTGGCCGGAGGTTCACATAGATCCGCCATCGGTCGAGCTTTTAGTCTCTCATCCTGCTTTCTCTATGTAGTATCGTTGGTAATTTGGTTCTTAGGTGTGAAGGTGGAATTCAAATGATGGCTCTGGATCCTCTCTAGATCTTCTGGCTCGGTGAAGCTAGGGAGCTCGGCTCCGATTAGGTCGCGGTTGTGGAGGAGGTCTAGCAGGGAGCGGTTTTTGAAGGATGTGGTGGTTGGTGCTCCTTGGTGCTGTATAAAAACATATCTGGGCTGGGCTTTGGTTCTCGGGGAAGACAAAGGCTGGGTTGTGGTTCTGTGTTGCCTTACTCATTTTTTTCAGGTAGTCATCCCTCCGTCTCCTTTGCTTGGGGTTTTCTCTTGAGGTTCGGATTGTTTTGTACCCGGTGCGAATCGTCTTGTGCTGCCTCGATGATCCTATTTTGTGATTCTTGGTCTCGATCTGATATGTCCTCTTCGGCCTTTCGAGCTTCTGTTTAAGGTGTTTAGTTGATATCTACCCGTATTAGAAGTAATATTAGTGGAGTTGGTGATCATTAGCCGTATCGATGGTCATAAATCGTATGGTTTTTTTAGTGGTCGTGTTCTATCTAGTGTTGGCGAGTGGTTTGTTTTTAAAGTTATGAGGAATGGAATAGGAGGACTTTAAGTCAATAGCTTGATATTGTCCTTGGAGCTTCTCTAGAGGTTAGGATTATCTAGGGTCTTGATTCCGGGTTTCTAGGGATACCTCGGAGTTTCAATGGTTCTATTGGCTCAGATTTGATATGTCCTCTACGCTTTGGACTGGTATTCTTGAGGACAAATAAAGCTCTGGAAGGTGTGGTGATGACAAAGATGTCCTTGGGGTAGGTCTTCCCCGATTCAACGACTAAGTTTCATCGCTCTCCGTATTTTCGAATAATCTTCTCGCGGCGATGCATATCAACAGCTTTCCCTCACTGATATTGGGTTGAGTATTAACGTTGAAGCTTCGGAGTGGTTTGAATCTTTGCTCGTGTTGTGATGGATCTTCTTTGTTTTAGGTTTTATTGTTGTAATCTTCCAAACTTTGTTTTAGTCTCGAAATTATGCCATGGGCAAATGTTTGTCTAGCGGTTTGACTAGTGGTTTGACTAGTGGTTTCGAGTAATTGGTTCTCCCGGTTCGGGATTGAGCAGTATCATTTGTACCTCAGGTTGAGAGGTTTTTAATAAAATTTACCAGATGGAAAAAAAACCATGTCATTAAGGAAAAAAGGGAATTAAAAGCAAAACGATTGTTGACAATATAATTAGCGCGGTTTGATTATTGAGGATCATGAATTTTCACTCTGTAGATCAGTGTAGAGAAAATAATTATTGGTTATTATATGAAAAAAGGCAATCAAATTTGTATTAAATTGTTTGAAAAGGAGAATATTATTACACAAACGGTCCAAACATAAAAAAAAGGTATACAAAACAAAGCAGCTTGTTGCGTAAGATTTTGTTAAAATACCCTAATACTGAATAAATAGTTAATATGTTTGATGATAAATTAAGGAGTTTCTGCTTCCGCCCTACCTCCTCTCCATAAATCTCTCTACGTGGAAGTCCCAAGGCTGAGGGATATGTTGCCACAACAAGTAAATGCAAAAAGAGTTGACCTTCGCATAGTGGTCAGCGATGTGGGAGTCCCTACCCGATAGACATGTGGATTGAAGCTAGAATGCTTAGAAAAGTTTTGAGAAAACTAAAGGAAAACAAGAAGGTTGTGACTCCAAGATATGCTTGGAGTCGGGACGGGTTATGCCAAGAAGATTGCACTTATCCTAACCCTAATTCACCATGTCATCAACCAAAGGATAAGAGGCGTACCTCTTGCCACAATGCTAGCTCCAACCGCATAAGCTGTTCTGAAGCTGAAGAAGATACTTAGTAGGTTGACTAAACATCTTGACTTCTTTTCGGCTCTATTGTCCGAAGGCAGGCTCTGCTTCAAGACATTTGAGGACCTGAAAAGAGAAAATGAGATCATCATTACCACACCAGGAAAGCTGCATCGCATGATGTGCAAGTCAGAGGGAAGAACAAACAAAAGAAACCATCTTCAAGCAGCTTTATTTTGTGTGCTCTCAAGTGCCAGCGACATAACGAAAACAGAACGTCTGAATATTAAAAGATACTGGAAAATGTGAGAACATGGAAACAACTATGTGCATTTTTTTCATAGTCATCAAAGTTGCTTAAGAAATGGGCCAAGAAAATTATATCTGATTCTTACTTGAGGAGGCGCCATGGAAAATTTGGGTGACAAGATTAAATTGCTGAGGAGTGGGGTATGTTCATAACACTTGGTTTTGAAGATTAGGATTTTGTTTTTGAGATATAAGTTTTTTTTTTTTCAAGATCGGACTCGCACATGTTCATAAGATTGAGATTTTGTTTTTGAGAAGAAAAAAACATGTAAAAGCTTTCAGATATTACTGTCACGTGTCTTCTAAATAACACCACGTCAACGATATTTTTGTCACCTGGTTTCTTCTGTCGCTTCTCAGAGACACACAGTGACTTAAAAAAAATTACTGATCGCCGGAACAAAAAAAAACTTTGTTTCAGACCCAATCTTCTCGCCGGAAAATGTCGCGTCAGCTTCCGCCATCTGTTACGGCGGATACCACACCGGATTGGCTTCCCGCCGGTTGGATTTCTCATTCTACGGTTTTAAAACGCGGTCGCCAAACTAGGGTATTGCTCAAACTCTGAGTTTCTTCTTGCTTGTGTTTATGTGTTCTTTCTTCATCAATTCACACTAATTCTTAGGTTATTGATGCGTAATGTAGACATGGGTCTTTAAGTTCTCTGTGAAAATTTGTGAAAAACCCCATCTTTAATTCGAGAACTTCGACCTCAAATTGAAATTTTGCTTTTTTATGAAAAGTCCATCATTGTCCATTGATATGAGAATTTTCGACCTCTAATTTGAGAATCCATAAGCTATTTGGGAAATTCGATCTGTAATTGAGAAAGTTTGTGAAAATCTATCATCAATTTGAGAAATTTGGATTTTGTTTTGCATGTGTGCATTGAGATGGAAATTTACACATGTTTATCATTTTGTAGACTTACACGAATTTGAGAACGGGTAAAAAGTTCTCTACCAAGGATCAAGTTCTTGAGTACATTAAAATGGAGAAAATTCAAGTGAAAAGAGAATCCGCAATCGAGAGAACGAAAGCAAGTGTATGATTCTAGACTTCCAAGTTTCGGTTTTTTTTTGTTCTTAGTGTTCAAGTTCTTTGGTCTCTGTTTCTATAATGTATCTTTCTCTTGTTTCAAGTTAAAAGCCGTTCAAGATAGTGTTGCCGCAAGAGCAAGGCCTTCATGGCTTCCGGATGATTGGATAATGGAGCCGCGGATTGGTGGTTATGGCGGAAATCCATATACGGTATAGCAGAGTAATCTTTGGTTAGTTTAGGCATATGTTAGTAGAAGTGATAGTTGTTTTCTTTTGTAGATGTATGTGAACATGTCAACTGGTTTCAAAACCATATCAAAGAAAGAAGTACTCGAGTATCAATACACAATGGATTCGGAATCAGAATCGGAAGCTTCGTTGGGAAAAGTAGAGGAAACCGAGACTAATTACATCGTAAGATGGATGATACAAGTCACGAATGTTTTTGGTTTAGAGTCTTGAAACGAGGTTGTAGCTGATTGATATATTTTTTCATGCTATGTTTTACAAGTCGTATGATTATGATATGGATGAAGAAGATTATTCAGAGAATGAATACGTCAAGTACAAAGGTTCACGAGTGAACGTGGAGAATTCATCTAACGTAACCTCTACTCCTGTAAGTGAATTTTGTTTTCCAGTTTTCTTATGTTTCTTCTGTAACATTTATGAATGGGAATTTGATGTAATATTTATTGTAGCTACGGTCACAGCCAGAAAGAATGCAGAAATTGGAGTCCCGAGCAAAAACGCAATGTGTGTTTGAAGGTAAGTGGAGAAAGAAACCAAAGCGTAATATAGTTCGTTAGTGATTTCTATTGCTTCTGAAGTCATTGTTTTGTCTATACGCAGATGAGGATATGAGTAGTGACAGTGACATTAAACTTCCAGATGCTAAGGCCTTAAAAGAAGAAGGTTGTAACGAGGCAAATGATTTGGAAGAGGCTCGTGTTGTATCTCACTTAGCCGAGTCAGAGGGAAACTTGCATGATGTTGTGGCTGGATGTGTCGATAAGGCGAGGGAGATCCCGGGTTTAACTGGATCGTTTAGTATTGAAATCAATCTGGAGTGTGAACCTGCAAGTAATAAAAGTGGGACCGAAGGAATAGCAACACGAAACATTGAATTGCACCTAAGTGACTCATCAAAGGTTGAAGACAAGATTGAAGAGCCTCTTAAAGCTCAAGCTGAGCAGGAAGAAACTGCTAATGAGTCGAGAAGTTCGGTCTTCTTTCCATACAGAGAAGCCCCTTCACATTCTGCACTTGTCTTTGAGAATTCTAATGCTCGATCATCTCCAGAGGATCTTAGCAACACCATGGGGCTCGGTTTAAACCCGCAAGAAAAGAACATTGGTGGCTCTAAAAAGCAGAGGATGAACACGGAAACATGTTCACCTAAGAACATCAAGAAGAAAGACACTGAAGCACCGACCAAACTAGGCAAAAAGGGAAGTCCGAGTGTAGGCGTAGAGAATAAACCTATTGAGTGGCCCGAACCGTGCCCAAACTTCCCATTTGAGCCTCTCACAAGATCATTACAAGTAGAGGATGACTCCGTAATCCGCAGGTACCTTGAGGAACACTCTGCAGCTGCTGGGAGCGGTGATAGTAATCTACCTTTACCAGATTTCGGATTGCCCAGCTTCTCCGACATAAAAATCTCACGGGATGAAGAACCTGAATCGAAGGAAAAGAAGTATCCTGATCCTCCATGTGTACCGGTTGCAAGTTCAAGCTTACCTACTTACAACGCCATGGGTACTACTACTATGCAACAGAGAGTTGCAGGAAACTAAAGAGACTTCACAAGCTCTTTGGTTTAAGCTGTTCAAAGTCCTTAATGTATAAATAATTAGTACATGGGTATGTATGTATGTGCCTAATAACTGTAACTTATGAATAAAGTAAAGTATATTATAAAGTAAAGTATATTACGTGTATGGTTGTAAAATAAAAAATAAGAACAACGTGTGAGTTAGGTAAGGTATAAATATCACGTGTGAGTTAGGTAAAGAATATCTAAAAGAATATGCTTTGTAATATTTCATAATATAAATAGAGGTTTGGGTAGGCGTTGTAAACTAAGCCAAGTGTGAGAGAAAACATAAGAGTCTAATCCTTTGAGTGTTATTATCAATAAAGCTTCCTTTTTGTTTATCAATAAAGTGTCCTAATAAAGTGTCCTACGAGGTTTTTGCAGGATCAAAAGGACAAAAGATAAATATTTTAGAACAAGGATGTATAAACAAAGGAGAATCTTTATTGATAAGAACACTCAAATGATTACAACAAAGATTCTTATGTTTTCTCTCACACTTGGCTTGGTTTACAACGCCTACCCTAGCCTCTATTTACATTACAATCTACAAGGAATATTACAAAGCATATTCCCTTAGATATTATTTACCTAAGTTACACGTGATACTTATGCCTTACCTAACTCACACTCACACGTTATTCCTATTCTTTATTTTATAACCACACACGTAATATACTTTACTTTATTCAACATGAATCAGAAGCTGACGAGTAGAATGTCATTGTATTTTAGTAGCCTTCTTAAGTTCTGAATTAGGAAGCCAGTCTAAGCTTTTAAGATTTTTTTCAAATACCGTCTTAGCGAAACTCTTAAACTAAATCTTTGGCAACAGCCATGGCTTGATCTATCTGAAACCATTGTACTACTAAGACAAAAATTTGAGATTTTAAACACTATTTTAGGAGTTTTCTTCACTGAAACTTGAATCTTAAACCAATTTACATTCGGATTACCAATATTGAGTCATTTTTCGAAAACCGGTGAAGGTAAATGTCTCATTCCATCATGGAGTTGTGCCCTGTCTTGCAAGAATTGATAATTTTTCTTTCTACAAATGCTTAAAGCACAAGAATCGATATTTTCTTGTGCAAATACAAAAGAATCTATTGACTGAATCTGTGATGAAACTAGTCTCACAACTGTTCTGCGAAATGAATTTCTCTTGCATCATGGAAAAGGTTAGGACATACCACAGAACGAACAAGATCAATACAGATGAATTTCTCTTCACAAGAAACACCACACCAAACACTAAAACACTCTTGTCCAATCTACCATCAGATATCACATCACCTACCATTTTCACGGTAGATGCATCTCCACAGAACCCGTTGCCTCGCATTTCCTTGATAAGTTCTGCTAATGCACCAAATTCACTAGCTCTAAGACGTCCTCTGTTTAGTGTATTGTATGTGCAGTCATCTGGTACATGTCCATCGTCCTTCATTTTCCTGAACCATGCATTTGCTTCTGAAACTGCACCTTTTCCACAAAGCCAGAGATCATTATATTGTAAGTTCTAACATGAGGCTCCACACCATCGATGAGGAGACTACAAAATAAATCCCATGCTTCGTCCACCTTGTTACACTTGCTCAATCCATCGATCATGATGTTGTAAATCGCAATATCCAAATTTATCTTACTCTTCTGCATAGCCTCAAACATTTCCAATGTTTTTTCCAGTTTTCCATTCTTGTAGAGACCAGCCAGTAAAATGCTATAAGTTATGATATCATGGCACACACCATGAGAAATCATCTCCTGGAAAAGGTCTTTGGCGGCACTAAGATCACCCACTTGATAGAGACCTTGAATAAGAGTATTGTATGGGCAACCAATCCTCTTCGAGACATCTCCTGGAAAAGTTGCATCACATCCTCAACTCTCTTAGCCTTACAGTATCCATCAATGAGAGCATTAAAAGTAACTACGCTTGGAGAACATCCCTTGCTAGCCATCGAATCAAACATGCTCTTTGTATCATCTAGACGATCATGCTTGCAAAATCCATTTATCATTGAGTTATAGGTGATTGTATTAGGAAATATACCCCTTCGAAGCATCTCTTTGTATAATTCTTCAGCATCAAAGAACATCCCTTCTTTGACAAATGCGTTGAAAGTGAAAATATCAGGATTGATTTCCCTTTTAATCATATCACGCAGCAATCGTGTGGCATCACTCCATTTACCAGCGGAACAATAACCGTCTATCATACAGTTGTAGGTAAGAACATTGGGGAAAATTCCATCCTCTAAAAGATTTTGAGCATCTTTGCAAAGACGATCAATGATGGTAGAATAGATCACAACATCGGTTTTGATGTTGCTTTCCTCCATCTTCCTAAGAAGATTCAAGGCCGACACAGTGTCCCCCATCTTACACAATCCGTTTACAATTGTTCCGTAAGTAACAACGTCAGGTTTTCTATCATCCTATCAAGCAGAGCTGCTGCTTCGAGAACTCGACCCTCTCGGCATCATTGTGGTAAATGTTACGACATCGGGTGCATATCCCGTTTCAACCATTAGATCAAATAAAGCTAATGCTTTGTGATCCTCCAAAATGTGTAGATACAGAGCAAAGGGAAGCTTAGAGCAGAATGTTGAAGCTGTATATATTACATGGAATCCTCCGCATTTCCATCTTCTGATACAGACAAATTACAAAATCTGGGCGTTTCATTCTCACGACCACACACATTAAATTAGTTGAGAAGGGACGAGATCGAACCATTTCATCGAGCAATTCAATCGCATCATCTAAGCTACTGATATAATGAAACCCACTTTGCAATTTCAATTCCTCGATCCGAAAGTTGTTCGCTCGAAGAATGTAGACTTTTTCCAACCGTACCTTTATTGTCGACGCGATGATGAATGAATCTAGCGGAAGTAGCAAAAGATCCCGATCTCGAAACTCTAACCAACATTTTAATTTCGCCTGATTTCGTTTTTCTTTTCGATCTCTCAACTCTAACAAAAGCAGCTAACAAGTGGTCAAGTGTGAAGTGTGAGCCCTGGATACATCAAACGATAGGAAGCCGCAAGAGAATCAGAAACCACGTCGTAGTCCATTTTGGGGGTTGGTTTCAGACTGAAACGACGTGGTCTCCAAGTTTGACTCTTATCTTGAAAACCTTTCACAAAGAATCAGAAACACTTTAGTTTTATCGTGTACTTTGTCTTCTTTTTCTTTTCAGGTTCTCATTCATATCTTTTAGCATTAAGGCCTCTTGGAACAGAACATCTGCAAATGAACAAGACCTCATCACCACACTCAGACTCATGCATCGTAAAGGGGAAAACGGTCTTTTTGAACCAAAACTATTGTCATCAGGTCTTTTTGGACCTGATCTTTTTAACATTGACCAATTTAAACTCGAACCTCAAATTAATTCAAATTCGATACCAAAACATATGATTTTATTGTTGATTTAGACCTTGACCAAGATACCGTTAGTCAACGTTAACGGAACAGTGACATGGACGACACGTAGATAAAACGAACAGCCTTTTTGGACCAAAACTATTGCCATCAGACCTTTTTGGATCTGATTTTTTAACATTGGCCAATTTAAACCCGAACCTCAAATT